TATTTTTAAAGTTTATAAATAAAAGACTGCAGCAGCAAATCCTCTTGTGCTGTTTCTATTTAAAATCCATGCACCGATGAATGACCTACCTGGCTTGCTGCTGCAGATTTGTCCAGATAAATCAGCAGGCGTACCCAGCTCACCCAGCCCCTGCAGGAGTGATGCTGGCCAGCCCTGTGTCCACCAGGTATATCATCTGCTTCTCTGACCCAGCACATTTTAACAGTGGAAGCATTTATAAGTTTGCTGAGAGGAATCCCTGGTGTGTCTGTCTCAAGGCTCAAGAAATGAGTCGACACACACGCATGTCTGCAGCTGACCTGCTCATTTGCTGACTAACCTCCTAATTCAGTTTGTTTATTTCAGAAGATATTGTTGCCAATCCCCTATGGTGTTTATAACCCTTGCAGTACCTTGAACTCTTCCTCACCCTTTGACCCTGCAGCCTTCCAAACACCGGTCCCTGAGCTTGGCATTGCCAGCTCCCTCTTTTCAGGATGCTGAATCTTTCCAGATGCGAATGAGATCTGGGTCTCCTTCCATGGTCTGTGTGACCATGAGATGGAGTTCCTGGCTGTCTCCATCCTGCCAGAGGCTGCAAGCCAGGGGAGGGATGTCCTGTCCCACACTTGTGCTTTGCATCCTCTAAGGCGACAGCAGAAAGAGCTCAGCTAGATAGAAATCATGTGGCAGGCCAATTCTGGCCACTTTGACCTAATTGAGACTCATTTTGTCTAAGTGTCCTTCTTCTGCAAAGCTCTGACCAAAGAGGGCTGGCACTGCGTGGTGAAAGGGCTGCTGAAAGCAGCGGTGTGCTTCCCTGAGGGGGATGAGAAGAGCTGCACCAAGCCTGGCTGCATGTCCCCAGGGAAGGGGAAGGTTGGGTGATGCTGGGAGCAGTGCGTGCTACCTGGGCAGCATCAGGCAAAGGCGGTGGAGGCAGGCCCTGTAAATGGAGAATAAAACCGCTGCCTGGCAGGCTCCAGGCAGTGCACCTAGCACGGGCACTTTCCAGCACCAACTTGGACCAGGACTACGAGACTTGGGTTGGAAGAGTCTGGTCTCTGAGTCAGGGGGGAGAATCTGCACTGTATTTTAGCTGTTGGCCATTGTGTAGATTGTACTGTTGCTGAGGGGGGGGGTGGTGGGGATGCAACTGTGTAATCCAGAAGGCACCCAAAGGCATCAGTGTCAGGAGACACTGAAAGAATTGAGTTTGTACCCAACAGCTTGGGGCTGGTGGCCACCACAACTCTTTGTAACGCTCCCCTCTCCTCTCTAGCTCGGTGCAGGATACATGCAGGACCCCAAGCTTCCCTTGGAGACTAGACTCCAGGAATTCCTGTGTCCTGATTTCCATGAAGGCATAAGGAGACCTGGGATGGTAAGTCAGTATGTGGTGTTAGGAGATGAGTTTTCACCTCAGTTAAAATCAGGTACAGGTTTGCTGAGGAGAACAAGAGGAGCCCAGTCCCCGTTCCCTGCTCCACTTCTTTAATCCACACTCCTGCTCCTTGCCGCCAGTGCTCAGAGGTGACCCTCCACCAACAGGCCTGCAGGCTTTTTTTTTTATTTTATGGCCCTGTCCTTTGCATAAGGAGATCTGCGTAAAGCAAGGGAGACTTGTGCAAT